ATGCTCAAATCACTTGGTGAATTCCTACTAACTATATGAAATGCAACCCAATGAATTAAAAGCAACTAAAAAGGATGGAAGAAAAAAAAATCTTTTTCTTTTTTTTAATTAGGGTTAACAATCAAATAAATGAGAAGGGGGGATTTGTTTGAATTTATTATCTTGTTAGTAAATGTCAAAGTTAAGGGTGAATTTTATTAAGGTCAACGGAAATAAAATCTTTTTTTTAAGATCTTATTTGTCACTAATTGTGAGAAACTAACTAAAGGTGTGGAATTGAAAATATAAGGAAGAAGACTTACCACAAGTGAATATCCAATTCCTCAATCTCCAATTCTTGATCTTTAATCTCCAAGTAGTTCTTTCACAATAAACACACAAGTTAAAGAACCAAAATAATTAAAACCTACTTAAGCACCTTCCCCGGCAACGGCGCCAAAAACTTGATGCGGCATAAACATGTACCAAAAAGGTTGCAAGTGCACAACCGTGTCAAGTTATAGTATTTAAGATATCGATCCCACGAGGAAGGTGTTTTGTAGGAGAAAATATAAAATCGGTTCTTATGTTGTGTGCGTGACAAATAGGAGTGATGAGTGAATGTGATTGTGGAGAGATAGAGAGAGTGGAAGTGATAGTGTGTAAATCGGCACGAGATATAAGTGAGAGTGGATGTGACAAAGAATGAATATGATCAATAAGGCAAGAAGGAAAAGGAAAATAAAAATCAAAAGAATGAAGAACAAAATTCTAGAATAAAAGAAAATGCAAGAAATTAAAGATGGTGGATTCAATTATAGATATGGGTAATCTACAATTGAACCCACTTCTTAGAAAATGGTGATTCCCTAGAGGGTTCTAGCCTAAAGGTGAATCAAACAAAATAAAAATAAACAAAAAGAAAAACTTAACCCAAGAGGGTTCTAGCCTCAAGATGAATAGTACAAGAAATTAAAATCTAACTACAAAATAAAATTGCAAAATCTAAACTACAAAATAAAATTACAAGAATTAAATGCACGAAAATAAATCTACTCTATAGAGGAAAAAATTATTTTTATTAATTGCAACTAAAGTTATAATTTTTGGAAGGCCTTCTCAATTAAGAGTAGCCCTCCTCTCCAAAAGGAGTTTACAAAATTTTCACACCTCTAACCCCTCACTCTCTACCCCTATTTATAGTAAACATCAGTGAATGAGAGCCATTGGATCAAACTTGAGCCCTAAGACAAGCACAATCAGCCATTGACGCACGCTACAGTAATCTGGTATCGATGCAGGCTCGATGCAGGTATCGATGCCAGCATCGATGTCCACATCGATGCCGACATCGATGCCCACTATTTCCAAATTCTGATTTCACGGATAGCTTCATCTCGTCGAGATAGGCGATTTTCATATATTATATGTTAAATTCCGCCTTCCGGATTAGGAGATATCGTCGTTTCTTTGTGGCCAACCATTTTGAATATGATTTCTTTTCATATTGGATTTTTGATTTTCTCCGGCTTCTACAGGCTACACGACTTCATTCTGGGCTTTTGGATAATTTGGAAATTGATTTTCCAATGTGCTTCTTTGCTTCATTTCTTCATTTAATCAATGGGTTTTTGTTGAGAGATGAGAGTTTGAGATTTATTCTTCATTAACCTGCAATTAAAAGATAAAAATAATTATTAGTGCTATATTTATTCATATAAAATAGATAATGAGGGTATAAAATTGTAATAAAATATGATTATCAAATAACTATTCTCTGGCTTTACCCACTAATAAGCAGTCTACAAGATCTCCCGTACAGCGCCTCATATGGTGCAATAGACATTCAATAACTGTTGTTATAAATGAATTCCATCAATTGGGTTGTGGTCATCTTGTTTGTCCTGATAATCCATATCACATGCTTGCAATATATTCTCCAAAAGTGTAAAGTAAACACCAATCTTGTTTGTCCTGATAATCCATATCACATGCTTGCAATATATTCTCCAAAAGTGTAAAGTAAACACCAATCCTTGGTTTGATACAATCATCTTTGACATGCTTGCAATATATTCTCCAAAAGTGTAAAGTAAACACCAATCCTTGGTTTGATACAATCATCTTTGAAACTTCATGAAATCTCACTATTTCCTAAATAATCATCTTTGCATACACTTCCGCTGTATAAGTCGTTTTCAAGGGTATAAAATGCACCAGTTTTATCTACTAATCAAGTGTCATCCAAATAGATTCTGTTTTTTTCTTTGATCTTGGCATCCCTTCAATGAAATCCATAGAAATATCCACCCACTTTCACTCCGGAATGAGTAAAAATTGTAGGGTTCCAGCTAGTTTCTGACATACTGCCTACACTTATTGGCAGGTAGAACATTTAGCTACATACTTCAAAATCTCCTTACGCACACCACTCTGTTAACACGTCCTTTTAAGTCTTTGTATATTTCCGATGTGTCTAGATATATTGTATACTTAGTACGATATGCCTCAATCATTCAATCCTTCTTAAGTTGTGGATAACCCGGCATCACCAGCCGACCTTCCATTTAGAAACCCCCGTCTGTTTCAATAGTTCATTTTGCTTAATCTTAATAGAAGTTACCTTCTTTTGGATTTTTAATCCAAGATTCTCTTAACTGGGTATTGATCTTTCCATAACTCTAAGATGACTTCACTGATAAAGCTCCTAAGAAAATGTTGTTTCCGGAATGAGTGTAAAGTTCTCGATACAATAAACATTACAAAACTATAATCTCTCAACGACGCTTCCTTCTCAACGTGTCTGCTACAACACTCGTCTTTTCCTAATTGATACTATATTGCAAACTAGTAATCATTAATAAACTCGACTCTTTACTGCTGCCTCTGGTTATACTTTTTTTGGGAAAAATGTACTTCCAAACTCTAATAATCCATATATAGTTTCCTTTATACTCCATACAAATGATGTCTTTACTTCTTAAATGCGAAAACCATAACTATCGGCTTTAAATCATGCGTGAGAAAATTTTTACTTATGAATTCTCAATTGCCTTAAAATATAAGTCACTACTCCCTGGGTCTGTGTTAAAATACCTCTAGGACCCGATAACTACTCTTTCATATAAACAACTTGAAAATCTTATCAGTAATCGGAATAACCATTACTGGTATTGTAATCAATTTAACCTTCAAATGCTTTCTGGCACTCTATGCTTCAAATAAACTGTACACCCTTCTTCGTAAGGTGTGTAAGTAACATAGAAATCTTCGAGAAAAAAAATCTTGAAGTAACTTCTTATAATGGTCGGTTAAACCTAAGAAGCTATGAATCTCTGATATGGTCTTTATCTTAGCTGGATTTACTGCGATGCCCTCTCGGCTGATACTATGATCCAAAATTCTGATCTTAGGTAACAAAAATTCACGCTTGTCGTATGTAACTTATAGCTAGTGCTCTCGCAAAGCCGTAATATCAATCGTAGGTATTGTTCGTACTCGGACTCCAATCTCGGATAAATAAGAATATCGTCTATGAATACTATCATGAACTGGTCCAAGCATGGACGGAAAACCTGACTCGTCAAATTCATGAATACTATAGGTGCAATGGTCAGCCCAAATGACATGATAAAAAACTTAAAAGACTCATATCGAATCAGAAAGGCGGTCTTGGGGATATCTATCTCCCTAATCCACAACAGATAATAACTTGAACGAAGATCAATCTTTGTGAAACTACGCTCAACTGTGCTCTGCCGGTCAACGAGTTATAAATCCTCTATAGCAGATATCTATCTGGATTTAAAGCTTCCTCATTTCAACATGTGTCATATGATAAAGTGCTTGGGGGTATCGATGCGGTGCCTGGCTACAACTCAACGTAAAACTCGACCTCTCTCACTAGAGGTAAACCTGGTATGTCCTGCAAGACATCATGATACTCTAAGACCACTCATGTCTCACTCAAATCTGTTCCCCGATCGTGTCTCATCACCTCCTTGACTTATGCCAGAAATAACTCCGTATTCTGGTTACTCTATGAGGTTGCTACAAACTGTACAAATCTATTGAATATTTACAAACCGCCTATCTTCACAAGACAGTCAATACTAACATGGTAGGAAAATAACCAATCCATACCAAAACATCATATAAGCTCGAATATATATGCAAAACAGATAAATCAACTATGAACTTAGACTCATCTAAGCTAATAATACATCTCCTACAAATACTCTCTAAGAGGGATGCCTCTCCTAAAGGAATGAAGACTGAAAAAGGATCATCTAGAGAATGTGTAACTAAACGATATCTATCCATTATAGCATATTGTGGAGTCCCCAAAAGATACGAATTTAGAAGGTGTTCAATGAGAACATACCTTCCACTACGACTCTGCTCATATCAAGATCACATGAAATATCTCAAATACTTGATTGATCGTTATGTTCTGCTGCACTGAAGGCTCTGTAGCATGTGAGTCTCTCTGACTCTGAGGTAGCTCATGATTTTCATGCATCTGATCTTCAATTCTTGAAGCTGACAGAGGTGATTCAATTCTCTGTTGTTGGCCATGCTCGCGATTCTGTAGCTGCTGATTCTGCAGCTGCTGATTCTGCAGCTGCTGATTCTGGTCTCTTTCCTTCTGTCCTCCTACTGGTGCTTTGCGACAATCTCTCGCTCTATATCCAATCTTGTGGCATTTATAACATGCACCCTGCATTTTGTGCTGTTTTTACGCTCTCTGTACCTTTTGTGAGTTCCGACTCTTGCTTTGCTGGGCTCTCACTCCACGACACCCTGTGGCTCTATGGCCGAATTTGTTACAGTTATAACAAAATCCTAGAAATATGTGCTGCATTGTACTTGTTTGATCCGGTTGTCCCCTCGGATTGGTATTATTCTGTTGATTTTGATTGTCTAGCTGAGGCCCTTCTTATCCTGCGAATGTCCTCTTGTTCTTGCCCTTGTCTCTGGTTTCTCTCATCTTAGGGATCTCTTCTTTTCTTGTAGCTTCAATGGTAGTTGGGGTTAGCGCAACTTCTGATGACATCTTTATAATAGACTCAGCTGGTGCAACTGGTGAAGGAACTTCAATTGATGGCACTGCTGGCGACATTTGGTCGTCCAAATGTTCTTCTAAGACTGCTATACTAGCTATAAATGATGCTAGGATGTTGATCAAATACTGTGGAGCCTGCTGCGGCTCATGCTCTAAAGCAGCTTGCTCTTTTCATCCTGACATCTACGATTTTCCAAATAGAGCTTATAAGACACAGTAAATGAGATCCTAGGTACAAAAATAAAACGTATACCAATAGGAAAATAGTATTACTTATCACTCACAACATGCTTTATACTTCAACCAAATAGTTCATGAAAAACATTTGGTAATTTTTGCGTATATATATATAATACGTCCTCACTCATACTAGGAATTCCTATCAGACTCTATACATGACTCCTAAAAATAGCTATCCTAGCTCCACAATATGACACATGAATGATACTAAGGATATTGGAACCTAGAGCTCTGATACCAACTGTGACGCCCCAGGGTTTACACAAGGCTGCAGTCCAAGGTAAAACCTGGATTGTCCAACCTGTCAAGTACCAACACTATGCTATGATACGTTTCACCATCACAGTTACTATCTCTCTAGCATAGTCAACAAATAGGTAAAGGTAAAAAACATGCAAAAATCAAAATAGTACAAGAATAGAATATGCATAGATGAAGTATGAGAATGATCAACATATGAGCCCATCTGAAATAGTATAAGAGTATCTCTGACCTGTAATAAATGTACAAAGTCTCATAATCAAGAGTCAAAAGAAAATCTCTCTAAGGCACACTGCCTCTACAAAATAAAAATATAATCTCTAGAGTCTAAAAATGAACAACGACTGCAAAGCTCTGCAAATATATACTAATAAAATAAATAAGATGAATACTAAGATGCGACTCCATCAACCCTGCAACACTGCGTACGCTTGACTCGTCATCTGAAAAGAGGGGAAACAACGAGCGTCAAGCGCTAGCGAGATCATCTCTACCGCCCCTAAGGGGAAGGGGTAGAAGTATATGAGAAAATACTAGTTAGTACATATAATTATAAAATTATAAATACTATGCTAAACGAAAATTGGTATTTAGAGATTCATAATACGAGAATGGGTACGTCGAGCAAAATAATCCAAATAATCCGAACAAGGCAACATAACAAGATAGAGAAAATTTCCCTAAAATCGAACACCAACACCTTAGGTGTTTAACAACTCATACGAATCGTAATACAACATAACAACGTCGAGAAACATCTCCCGAGAACAGAAACAGTGAGGAAAAACAAACACAACCAAATGTATGATGGGCGGTCGACCGTATATATGCGGCGGTTGATCGCAACATGTTTCAGGAGTTGCCCAGGCCTCTGCCTGGCACGCGATCGATCGCTGCTTAGGCTCAGTCGACCAGACGTGATTCCAGAGTTCTGTTCTGAACAGGTTTTGCACTGTGTTGTATTCACGACGTGTGTTTGTTATCTAAACTGGTTTAATTTATATTTAAACATGTGTAGAACATAGTGAACATCAGATTATCATCTCTGAGAAATATCAAACATATATAATATGATTAGTTGCATAATGAAACATATTTAAACCCTTAAACATGGATGAAACATCAATATGATGATTAAAATTATCAAAACTCAATTAAACAACATTATTAATTACTTTTACATCTTCAAACACTTTTGTAATTTTGTTCTTAATCTTTTAAACATGAACAGACCTAGTCTTTATACATATAATATAAAAGATTTGATTTTTATACACAAATTAGTCAATTTGGCTCTATAAAAATTATTGGAAACTCATTTAAAATTCTTTAAAATAGGGAAGGGATTAGCAGAGATGAAACTCACCTGAGACTTGATTTAAAATGTGGAATATAAAAGTCCAAAGCAGATCTCCAAATCGCAAACTCAAAATAACCCGAAATCCCGCTCCAAAAGCCTTTAATCTTTCTCAAAAATCAAAATAGGGTTTGCAGGGGAGTTTGGTGACTGCTAGGGTTTTTAAAATACTAAAAACTCGTGAATATATGATATATATAGCAGAGAAACAAATATGGGCTGTAAATACCTAAAACCAAGTCAAAACAGGATAAACAATATTCAGGTTTCGGGGTCAACCGTGACGGTCGACTGGACACCGGTCGACTACGACAGTCGACCGGACTGGAACATTCTAGTTTTCTTAGATTTTTAGTCTTTTGGCCATTGTGCATGTTTTGACTCGTTTCTTTCTCATTCACTGGCTTGTTTATACTCAAAATACTTGTTAGTGTACTCATACACTATTTAATGATATTTATCTCAATAAATATCCACTTATTATAATTAAACACACACTATTTCAATTTATTAATCATTAACTCAAAATTTATGGGGTTTTACATTGTTTACCCACCCTGCTTTAGAGTCATTGGATCTCTCTGATAACTAATTCTCTGGTGAGTTAAAAGAGTTTTCAAATCCTTCAATGTGTTTAGGAAATCTTGAACTAAGTAATAATCAACTTCAAGGACAGATGCTAATATCCTTGTTTAAGCTCTCAGCCCTCGACTCACTCTACCTATCATCAAACACCTTTAATGGAATGGTGGAGCTCGGCATGGGAACAAACCTCACGAAGTTAATAGAGCTCAACCTCTCTGACTATCTGTACAAGAAGTTAGTGGCATTAATTATTCTGACACCTTTCCCAGCCTCTGATACTTAAGCTTGGCTTCATGCAACCTCATCAAAGTGTCTGCCTTTCTGAGATATCAACATGAACTCGGTACTCTAGATCTTTCTGATAACAAGATTTGTGGCAGAACACCAGAATGGATTTGGAGATTAGACAATATATACGATTTGAATCTCTCCATGAATGAATTCATACATTTCGAAGGCCCACATATTCCCTCTAGGAAAGATGGTTATGGCTTTTTTGATCTCCATTAAAACTTGCTTTGGGGACCAATTTTTCTTTCTTTGATGGCATTCCAATTCATAGATTACTCAAACAATAACAACTTATCAGTTATCCCGTCTAACATTTCCTCTAATCTTTTAAACTACACTCATCTTCTACTCAGGAACAATAATCTTATTGGAGAAATCCCAGCATCTATCTGCAAAGCACAAAATCTCCAAGTCCTCGACTTGTCTGGAAATAGTTTGAGTGGTTTAATCCCTTCGTGTCTATTTGATATCAAATCTCTCTTTGACTTGAATCTAAAAGGGAACCAACTTCAAGGGGAAATTCCTAAACATTTTAGTAAAGAATGCATGCTAGAGGCATTGATCCGCAGTGACAATCATTTGAAAGGTTCAATTTCTCAAACTTTGCTCAATTGTCGGTCGCTAAAAGGTTTTAGACCTTGGGAACAATCAGATTGCTGGAGATTTTCCATCTTGGTTAGGACAAATGGTTGACATCACTATTCTAGTTCTTCGAGGAAATGCACTTTGTGGGAAAATCAAAGTTACAGAAATTCCTGAGGCAAATAACATATTTTTAAAATTGCAGCTATTTGATCTTTCTTCCAATCACTTCAGTGGAAATTTGCCTTCAAATTATTTCAACAATCTAAAGTCCATGATGAATTTCTTCACTATGAATCAAGGTGATGATATAACTGATGAAGACAGATATCACTATGAAGTTTCACTCACAACTAATGGGTATGAATATACCTTTCAGAGAATATTAGTGATATCATATATGTTTATGGATTTCTCAAATAACAACTTTGAAGGTAATATTCTTGAGGTGATCGGTAAACTCCAAAGCCTTTACATATTGAATTTATCACAAAATTCTCTCACAGGAGAGATTCCTTCAGTAATTGGAAATATGAGACAACTTGAAAGATTAGATCTTTTTACAAACCATTTGTCTGGATAGATTCCTCAAGAATTAATTTCTCTCATGTTGTTAACTTCTTTAAACCTTTCTAGCAACAATCTAACTAGAAGAATTCCTCAAAGTAATCAGTTCAATACATTTCTGAATGCTTCTTACCTGGATAATGATGGACTGCGTGGAAGTTCGTTATCAAAGCAAATGCAACAATGGAAGCCCAAATCAGACATGTGTAGTGCAACCTATTGCCTCCAATCATTCATCATAGTCAATCTATATCATTTTACTTGCGCTATTAATCGGCCTAGGATTTGGAGTCGGGTTTGCAGTGGCCTTTGTGCTTCGCAATTGCAATTAAAATTTTGGAAAGGCAAAATACTACCAACATCTAGCTATTCTTGAACCCTTTTTTGATCTCTCAAATTTCATGTTTTTTAAATATAAATGTTCCTTTTTCATCTTTTAGCTTTTCATGTTTTTTTAAATATAGCTGCTGAAGCTTAGATTCGATACGAAGAAATAAATAAAATGGCTTGTAGCTCACTATAATGTGTCTGTTGTGTTCTAATCTGAGAATTATTATTCATAATGTAGTACAGATAAAATAAGTGTGCTAGTCACTTTCAAACCCCAATCAGTTGGCACTATTTAAATCGTTGATGTTTGGAATGAGTATACTTTCCTTCAAAAGAATGTAGACATTGCTATGAATTCTATGCTCTAAAATGTTACTTCGACAATTTTAATAAATGCTAGATGTTGGCACTATCGGATTTGGATCCTCTCAACAATATTTGCCTTTTTATTTTGATGAAAGCTCGAAGTTGATAATGTTAATAACCAAAAGTAAGTAATTTTCTAATAAACATTACTTTTGAATTTGAGACGATAATTTTCATAAGCTAAACATTACTATTGAATTTGAGACCACAATTTTCATAAGCAACACTGGATACACTCTCAAAGTCTGCTTTACATTTTATGCTGTCTCATAAAGAAAGACCAACATCATCATATCACCATTAATCTTATTCACAATATGTAATCCAACAACTATAATGAAACCTCATCCAGAATCAATCAATACTCCAAGTTCCTCAGATAACGTTAAAATAACACCAAAAAAACAATAAAAAGATTTTCAGATATCACTATGTATTATATAATTGAACCTTGGAACTATACCTATGTATAATATTTTCTCCTACTCATGTATACAATACTCTGTGCCCAGCAACTTTGCCTTCAGAGCATGTTCACTACCCATAGCTTATATCTATGTACATACAAATACACAAGACAGGGTCCAATCAGTTCCATATTAGATAGCCTCTTATAAAGCTTCATGTAGTGTCAATGCTACCAGATTCCTTTATGCTCTTACCCAATCCTTGCAATACAAAAACTCTATCCAAATAATTAGGACATAAACCAAGGTTAAGCATTTTCATGAGAGTATCTAAAGTATTTGAATAATACCATCCTTTAACATAACCTCAAAGTAACCATGATAAAGTTCTCCTCCTTCGGCCAGGACTCATAGTCTCAATTCTAGTGAGCAATTGGTTAACAGCACTAACTTCCTTTTGAGAAGCACAAATGTCTAGAACAACATCACAGAGCTCTTTGTCA